AGATGGTAGCTCTCAGTTTCTTTTTCAGGATCTAATAACAGCAGGACCCAGTCATGATAAATTCAATATTGAATGAATTGTCAAGAACTGCACTGAAGAACTTTGGAACTGGAGATGATCAATCCGTTTAATTCACAGTCTTTTACCTAATGACATCCAGGACCAAATAGTTCTGAGAAAGAAGTTGTTGTAAATGACTGTGGGATAAGGTTACTCGATGCTGCAAGAATATGTCCACTTAAATCCCAGAGGATCTGTCTGCTTCTTGTAGACGTCACATGAAATACCTGCTGTTAATTTATAGTATTTTTTTCCTCTGACATTCCTCTCAGCCTAGGCACCAAAACTCATCAGTTTCACGTCTGAGATTGATTTTGCTCTTTCAGCTTACCTTTTAACTCATTAAAATCTCAGTAACTTTTTGGCTGGTGATGGTGCTTGTGGTTTGCTTTTGTAAAATACTAAGAGTTAACAGCAGATTTTAAAGCTTTATTTCTGTAAAACACCACAAACCTAAACAACTGTATTCCAAGTAAGCAACTGAAATAGAAAAGAAGGATGAGGGAGCATGGAAGAAAAAGTTGCTAACACACCATTTCCACCCCATTATAAAAGTTACTCAGGTGGGAATTCTTCGTTACAGGACTTGCATTTGCATTATTTTCCTGGTGATGCATATAAATGATGCATATAAATGGTTATGCATATAAATATGTTAACTAAGAGAAAAGAAGCTCATTAGACAACTTTTTTTGTTTGTTTTTGCTATGTTTTTTTTTTTCTTTCTTTCTTTTTAACAGAAAAACCAGCAGCACTTTCCTTCATTCTTTTCTTTGGAACATGATCTAATTAAAAATAAATGTGGAGGGAAAAAAAATAAAATTAAAGTATTGTCTCCAACTTTGAGATAGAAAGCCAGTTTCTCTGTCTAAAACTGGCTGGATAATTCCAGGCTAGAGAGTCCTGGTCTGCCAGTCTGTGAAAATGTCTCCATCTACTGTGTTTCAATCCAAGTCCAGCTAATTCTGAAAAAGTAATTCAAGGATTGTCTTGTAAAGTGTTGCCATGGCAGTTTTTATTTCCAGCCAAATAAAAATATGACTAATATTGGCTCTTAAAACATCATTTTTGTATCTTCCTATTGTTTGTTAATTTCAACCCATAAAAATGTATGACCTTTAAAAGAAAAAGTTGCAATGATTTAATTGACTGTGTCTTACCAGCTTATCAAACAGCAGTTGCCCTGGACCCTGGGTTGAAGATCATTTTGATATGCCATTCCTTTTACCTGTTTAAGGGCTGTTTGATACTGTCAAGAGGGAAAAATGACAACTTTGTCCCCTCATAGTTCACATCTGATGAAAAGCCATAGTAGGGCTTCATCTGATAAGAAGTGTAAGATATACATTTATGATATCAGGTATTACATATGAGAGTAGCCAGACCAAGGAGAAACAAGGCTTTCAGTGAGCAATGAAGGAACTTTGTTTTCCTGCAGTTTTGTGTCCTGTGATTGGATTCTCCCATGTTTAAGAATTAGCAGACTCGCTCAGAAGCAGGAACACTGGTCACAGTGCTCTCCAAGGGGACTCCTAGCTATCTAACTGAACTCCTACTACAGTCTTTCCCTGAAGAGGGGCATTCATATGGTATCTCTCTATACAGCTGTGCATTTTCACAAAACATAACTTCATATCCTTAACCCATCTATCTCATTTGTTTGAGGTTGGCTGTTACACCCAACAGTAATTGCAAGGGGACTGAGGGACACAAATACATAGACAGCAAGATCTCATAAGCTTTGTATCCTTAGGAAATCAGGCAAACAAGACCTTTCTGGCTTGCAGTCTGGCAGGGAGCTGAGTGACTTGGATTAGGGTCAAACTGACAACGTAACAAACGGGAACATTTACTGGCTGCAGCCATACCCAAGAATTCTGACCTCACCAGTCTGGCATGTGCTTCTGGTTCAGCCCTGTTCTGCTACCAGTTTTCTAACTCTGGCCAGTGTCACAGGAATTTTGGAACGTGAAATGCAGGCTGCTAACCAAGACAAACCTGTCAAGGGCTGACTGTTACAAAAAGCAGACAGTTGCCTGTCTTTTTCTCCTCCTCCTGTGCAGTTTAAATTCTAGAGTGAGCTGGATTGTTGTCAGTGAACAAAAAGAACTTACTGGAACAGCTGCGTAACAAATACCAGCAGGATGAAAATTCTTAGCATAAACTGGAGCTAAAACAAAAGGCTGAAGAATCTGGAGATGAGTTTCTGTAAGAGGAATTAAGATAATGCGTGATTCATATGATGGAAGAGAATTACATTATCAGGACCAGTTCTCAAAAACTAACTCCTAAATTGCCCTTGGAAAGTACCACAGTCATTTAAAGGAAGTTTTTAGGGGCATGACAGAAATAGCTGTGACATCATAACATCAGGACATCAGTCAGAGCATTTTTCCCCATATTTCACACTTCCTACAGTAGGAACACATATTCAAAATACAGCTCCAAAGCCTCCCCGGGAAAAGTGTTGAGTAATGTCATATCATTGTCATGAGGGAAAGCTCAGAACATCTATTATCAGCCATCAGTTGGAAATCCTCAAGCCCCACATTTTCTTCCTAATTCGGAGCCATGCCCACGCTGCTAATGTGGGAGAAAATAGGAAACCAAAAAGTCCCAAGTAGCTCTGTAAAAAAAGTGGAACTAATGATGACTGCTTCCCTGGGGACATTTATCTCTCTGTTGGTTTGTTTAATTATTAAATGGTAACATTTTGGCAACAGGAATTCATCTCTTTCTAGACATCAGAGAATCCACAACAGACAGTAACATCACGGATGCCATGGGCACAGGAAAAACAAGAATTTAGTGCTTGCTCAGCAATGGAGAACACTGAGAAGAGAACCGTGACCTTAAATGCTTTCTATCGAGGGCTGAGCTCAGCTTGCATTCCTTTTCCAGGAGCAGTAAAAACAAGGTGTCCCCCGTTCTGTCACCTGATTCCAGGAAACTTGTAAGAATTTTGCAGAACTGTGTAATTCCCTTTGAGAACTAACCACCTCTGCCTCATCTAAGTGAAACGGTTCAACTGTTTCAAAAGACTGTGAGGAAACTGGGTGAAATCCATGTGGCCACAGTATGGCATCAACCTTCATTTCTGCAGGCTAGGAAATAAGGCAGGACTAGGCTGAACTCTGACTGAGGCTAACACTCGATACAGCCTCCCTGCAGGGACTTTCTGCAAAAAAATGCCAGTGTTATCTTGGCAAAAGAAACTGTCAGAGTGGCAGAGTTGTCCGCCCAGCTTCTGAGACAAGTCACTACCTCTGCCTTGCACTCCCGGTATTCCACAAGCATAACACAAGCAGCTGTAGACAGCTCTAAACCTTAAAATAGGATTTTTTTCACTTAGAAAACTCTGAATTTTGCTATCTACATTATATTCCTCTATAGCGAATCAGACAGGTCCTGGGCATGCAAGTGCTGTTGGTAAATGGATGTACCACCAACAGGCAGGAGGGCAATGTCAGGAGGGATATGGTTAGAACAGCACACATCGCTACCAGATTCTCCTTATTACCCTCCCCACACTTTCTACAGGGAGAATTCACTGCCAATTCACTGCCTGTTTCTGCCTGCACCCCAAGACTCTCTCCTTGTCCTTGAATTTGTTATGAGCTCAGCTACCAGGTGGTGGAAGCCTTAGTGTAGTGATCTTCTGTTTGTAACACCATGTGTTTGTGTGTATGGGATGAGTTACAGAAAGGCAGAAATTTGGATTTGGAGAAGCTGCAATTGTTCAGAAATGTCTGGTACACTAACCAGACTACAAACAGCGAATGTTAGTTCAGTGTTACTTCTGCCCTACTGACTAATACTTAAAACAAATACGCTTTATGAAATTCAGATTTCAGATGTATAAGTAGGTAAAAAGTGGATCTTTATGAAGTCATGAAAACAAATACTGCTTCAAATGAAAAGCTTGCCTCTGCCACTGCCTCCCTTCCCAGCCCCAATGTGTCTTTTCTTGACATTTCCTTTTTCTTTTTTTTTTTTCTTCCTCGCTTTAATTGTAAATTAATCACTGACTTGGACATATCTCTGCTGTGCATTAATATGGTTGAAATTAAAACCAATATTACTCTCCAGGCATTTGGAATGCGCACGACTTTTTGTGCACCAAATGGCCCATATTAACTTCTGGAATAGCCAGGTGCAAACTCTATTGCAGTGTTCAAATTAGTTCAATTTCTCTAACTGCTTCTCCTGTAATTGATGGCTCAAATTATAATAAAGTACATTTCCTCTACATGATATATGCTACAACTACTACCTGTTATGCTGAATATTGCATTGCTTTGAAACTGCATTACCCTCGATCTACACCGATCAGATCTGTTTTAAAGAAACTACTTATGCATCAGAAAGTGTCTTCACATCATTCAGAAATTATACATATGCTCATGCACTTTATCAGTAGCTGACAGAATGGGGATGGCAAAATTACTGTCAGTCATGTTGTATTCAATCTTACATAAAGACCTGCTTTTTACTATACCCTAAAATTGACAATAAATGCCAGTCGTCTCTCCTTGCCCCATTACTGCATCCAGACATAGCTAGTAATGCTTAAAAGATCTGCACCTTCATCTTAACTGCTGTTAAATTCCAGCTTCATTCTCTCTTCTGCCTTTACTATTATTCTCCTATGCCTGAATCTAAAATACTTCCTCCTTACTCTTCTCTTTTCCTAAAATGTATGATTAGAGTAGGTTGTGTTTTTTTTTCTCATGGAAACAAATATTTTTAAAAAACAAACACATAAATCAACCAAATCCTGATGGCTTACTGACTCCTGTTTCAGTCTAAATGTCAACCCTGATGAGAAGAAAGGGAAGGGGTTGTTTGACATTGGGCAATGTGCACCTTCAGGTGTGGCTAAAGTTTGGACCCTGAAAGCTGCCTTTTGCAGCCCATCGTGAGTTGGCAGGCCTGTTCCAGCACGTAGAACTCTGGGAGCTGCTTGCAGCTGCTCAAGGAAACCACTGCACTGACAAGAACATCAATTTCAGAGCACCGCAGCAGAATCTGGGGAACTTGCAGTTCATCAGAAACGTATTTAGAAATTTGGTTTTGATCCAATATGGACTGAAGCCAAATTTAAAAATAACATAATTTCTAGCAAATCAGAAAGGCTGTGCTTTTGCAAGCTCCAATTGCAATACTTTATATTATTATTTCTTCTTTAAACAAATATCATAAATGTTTTTTCCTAATCCCGAGACCAACATCCTCAGTTTAATTACAGAAAAAGTGAAAGGCAGATAACAAAGATCAAGAGTCCTCTCTCAGCTTGCTTTGCCAGGTGTTACAATATGAAATTAAGGATCACTCTCTTCCCAGTCCATGATGGAAGGGCACATAGCAGTGGGGACAGCAGAACTGGTGCTGAGTTCAGTTAAACAACAACCACAGACAGATGATAGATGTGCTGCAGATTAAAATACCAGCTCAGAGTTCTGTGACATTCAAAAAGGCAGACAGTGCTAAGAACTCTTACGAAGGGAACCAAGAAAAAAAAAACATAAGTAGGCCATTGCGTGTCTTCAATGCTGTATGCAGTGCTCGTCCCTCCCTTCAGTTTCAAAAAGATAGAGCAGAATTCCAAAGCTATGGCACAACTTCTGAACAAGAAGAAAATAAATATACCTCAAGTCTTAGGCATAGTAAAGAAAACAATGTAGTAAGAAATCTAAGGATTTCTAAATTCACAAGTGACAGTGAAAGGAATAAAACAAAATTATTATACACCATTTCCCATGACGTTTGGACTAGTAATACTTTTAAGCAGATGGTTTAAAACTCGTAAGAGGAAATATTTTTTCACACAACACAAAACACAAAACAGTTTAATACAGAATGTTCTTGCAACAAGGTGTTGGGGACTAATCTAAGAGGATTCAAAATGTAATCAGTTAAATTCATAAAAGCAAAGGACATCCAGTGCTCCTAAATGAAAGTTTAAGATGAATACTCCAGAATTAAGTCCCATAGGCACAGGAAGTTGAAAATGGGAAAGATCCACCTGGGGACTAATCCACTGACATTCACCTGTTCATACAATATTTACATAAACATATAGCACTCACTGTTAGTGTGCGGACTGGATCTGATGATCGATTTGGGATGTTTATTCAAGCAGATTTCCCTGAGCTTTCACTGAGATTTTCAGAAGACAGAAGCCGTGAAAGTACCTTGGTAAAAAGAGATAGTGGGATGTCAGAAAATGGGCAGGTGATCTGCTGTTCAGTTCTCCTGATTAGTTCAAAGAAATACCAACTATAAAAAGAGGTGACTGTTACTTGACCAGTAAATTGCAACCAGTCTTTCTCATGCCTTTTGTGGTCTCTCTAACCAAACAATCAAAAGGCAAACGTTTACAGGTACATGTTGCCTTTAGGTAAAAGTTTACAAACATACGTTGTCCTGAGGCAAAACACATTCATTTATGACACAAACAGGAAAGATACATCAAGAATATGTTATGGACTGACCATAGTACTCAGGCACTCTCTTTGTGTCTTGTGACTTGCAAAGAAATAGCCAACAGACTTCCACCTCTCTTGAGAAAAAAATCTTCCTTCATGACTGCTCGTTCGAAACTGACATTGAAAACAAGCTGATAGAGAACAACAGTAAAGGTATGTAACAAAACAGTCTGTCAATCCTGATTATTATAAAATCACTTGACTGAATTCGCTGTTTTGATGACACTCAAGGAGCTGCGATTCCTGTTCAACACCGTGCACAGACAATATTTGAAGATGGTCTTGCAATGTGTGTTGAGAAGTATGTTAAATCAGTTAATATTCTCCAGTGGCAGCTTTAATGTGTACAATTCTTTCCTGTGGCTTTTTGTCAGTTGGCTTGGTCTTGCTGGAGCAGTGGGGACGAGGTTCCTGGCCGTGCTGTGCCCCAGCCGGTGCCTTTACCTCACCCTTTTGCCCGCTTTGCTGTGTCACACCTCTTACAGAACCCGCTGGAGGCCCTCAGGAGGTGTCCTGGGTGTCTGGGCAACATCCGTATCAGGCTGCAAACCACGACCAGCAAACACAGAGCTGTAAAGATGGAATGCTGCCCTTCAACGAGCTCCTCACAGCAAGGCCATATTCCAGTCAGGTGTGACTCTTATGGCCGCGGTTGGTGGTTCTGCACGGCGCTATCTGCCTCTTGTGAGGGAGAAGGCGGCGGGGCAAGGAGCTAACCACAGGGTAGGAGCTGTGGTGCTTTTAAGGCCGGGTCAGAGCAGGGCTGTGGCTGCACCACAAGCCGAGGAGGGCACAACCCCTGGGTTCCACCACAGCGTGTGGCACAGCCTCGGAGCACTTGGAGGCGATGCGAGGCGACACCACCAACCTCCTGAGGGCCAAGCAGCGGGACTACAACTCCCCGCAACCCTTGCGAGCCGAGCCCAGGCTCCTAAAGAACCTAAAGCCTCCAGCAGGCGGTGCGGGGCGGCCGGACCGCCCCCTCAGAGCGCACCCCGATGGGCAGACTACAGCTCCCGGCAGCCAGCGCCGGGCCCTCCATTTCCGGGAGCGGCGCCGCGTCCCCGGGCTCCTGAGGCGGCTGCGAGCCCTGAGCGGGCCTGGCTCGGCGGCGGGGGCTGCCCGGAGCGCGGCTGAGCGGAGCCTCCTGGGGCCGGCGGAGCAGGAGGAGGGCAGCGAGGCCGAGGAGGTGCCCGGGCGGTGGGCACCATGCTCAACATGTGGAAAGTGCGGGAGCTGGTGGACAAGGCGTGAGTACGGCGGGCCTGGAAGGGGGGGGATTGAAAGGGGGGGGGCTCCGTTGTGGCCCCTCAGCGGGGCCCGCGTTGCCCCCGGCCGCCTCCCAACATGGCCGCGGCGCCGCCCCCGCTGAGGTGGCGCCCTCCCGGCCGCCCCCCGCTCGCCTCAGCCTCTGCCCGGGGCCCTGGGTGGCAGCCCGCTGCCTGCACCCCCCTCCCGGCCCGGCCTCGGCCCTTCTGAGGCAAACGGGGGTCGCTCCCCCGTCAACCCGGGGCCTTCCCGCTGTGCCCGGCCCTCCGCAGGGCCCAGTGGGTTCCTTGGGGGTTGTGCCGCTTCTTGGGGTGCTCCCTTCTCTGTCAGGGGGCTGTGGGGTTTGAGGAGCCCCTGGGGGCTGGCTTGGGTGGATGGCCTCATGTCCAGGCCCCTTCTGAGAAACGGACGGGTCATGTCCAGAGAAAAGAGGGCTGCAAGGAGCCAACCACCTGTACGGGAGGTTTGCAGAGTGCTGCCAGCGCTGCCACGTCTCTCCCAGGCTCTTTCCTCCTGCTAAAGGACAGGTCCCTACTGCGGTCGCCACTGACTCGCCAGCCCTGGTTTTAGAGGTGGAGTGGGGTAGAGGAGAGCAGTGCTCCATCCCAGCCCTTAAACTTTTGAAATGGCTCAGGTATTTGCAAGTTTATTTCTTGGATTAGAGCCGCCTTCAGACGTGGCTGCTGTGCTGGTTACCGTGATCACGGCGTTGCTGTTAGAGAGCGTGACGTTATCGCTGTGTTTCTCTGCTACTCCTTAAATGCTGGCGTAAGGGGAAAAAAATACTATAGGAGAGGACTTACTAAAGATAAGGTTTTGCCTCCTTAAATAATATGTCTTTAGGGTCAAACTTGGAGCACTTTTCCATGAATTGTGAACTTCTTAGAGGAATAACTTGCTGAAGGTCACGACTTAGTATATGCAGGAGGAGATTGTGTGCTCTAGTAATTGTGTCTAGCCTTAGAGGTCAAAGGGTAAGTCTTTCAAAACTGAGGTTCCGTTCTGAACTTTTTAAAAACTTCTGTTTCTCCAAACAGTTCTTAAACTGATCTGCTCTTTACAAAAGCCTTAAAGGCAGCAAACTGAGGAGAAATGGCAGCTTATTCATCATAATCAGGTGTTTTGTTTAGGATGCTGTGTACCAGACTGAGGCTTTTCCAGGCCGGGACTTCTCTTGAGGAAGTGGCTTACTTTTTTTTTCTCCTGTTATCAGCTTCCTGCCAAAAAAGCTGGTTGTTGCTAAAGTAGAATGGTAATTGTAATAATGTGACATTGTATAGATAGGAGAACCCAAATAGGCCCACCTTGAGTTCTAGGATTTAAAAGGACACCTCCAGAGAACATAAAGTTTTGCCTGTGTACTTCTATTTATGTAGTGTTAATGATCAGTGTAGCATTGGTAACACTGCCACTGTAATTAAAACGTTTACTTCTAAGGATATTTTGTAAGTTATTAAGTCAAACTGTGCATCAAAATCTGTACTGGAAAAGACATTCAATTTTCAAACCAAGTGCAGGAAGTGAGTATTTCAGATAAAATGTTTTTTGAATAAACTTCAATTTTAGGGAATAACATTATTCAAATAAAACACATTTGTGTATTTAAAGGGGGGAGGGAGGAGGGAAGTGCGGTGCCTGGAGAGTAAACAGTATTTAGAGACATCAAAATCAATAGTCCCATTGTGTGCAGTGCAGATCTGTCATAATGTCTTCTGTCTTAAGGCCACAACTTACAAAATTCTCTACAGAGACTAGGTAATGCTGTCTGCCTCATAAATAACTGCTGATGCTGTGGCAGGAACATACTGAACTTTAATTAGAATGTCTCTTTCCTTAAAAAAGGAATATGTTTATATGGGGTTTTTGAAAAATGGGCTAGTAGCCTGAAATTTTGCTGCCTCAAACCAAGATCTTTGCGGTGCATGTTAGCTCTACGCCTTGGTTCCACATTCAGCTGTTACGTTTCATCTTAGTATTTATTTCAACTTGCTCGTCTGTCTCTTAGCTTTACTTGGTCTTCAGTGGCTGAGAGCTTGCTTAGATCAGAGATCTCAAGGTGGAGGACCTGTATGAAACATTTGTCAGTGTTTGAAAGTTCAGTAAGCCACGATGCACAATTAAGCTACTATTAATTTTGGTCCATGTCTGCTTCCTACTTAAACAAAAAATACTTAAAAATGGTAAATAGACTATTAAACTTCTTGATAGCTTTAAACCTAAAAATTAGAACCTAGAATTACCTTTGTAATTCAATTGCCTTGGAGCACTTTCTGAAAACTCAAAAGTATGGATCCACATCCTCTTGTGCATAAAACAGTTATTTTTGATAGTGAATGGTGGTCCTACTATATTTGAAATTCAGACTATGATAGAGCATTAGGTTTACTGTTCTAAGATGTGACAAGATGCTTTGAGTCTTGTTCTCCTGTTTGCAGTGTCACAGTTCTTAGGTTCTAGTATAAGTCCACCCTCTTCAGTTTTATGTGGCTTGATTAGCTATGATCAAGCAGTAATGCTTCATATCTAATTGGGAGTTGTGAAGAAGTTTGAGGATTAAACCAAATAACTAATAAAGCTTCTCTGTGCCCAGTAAAACTTGCTTGTCCTCAGTTTTATTCTAAATAAATGCCAACCTTTTTCCACTCTCCAGTTTCTTCCCAGGTGCTGCAATGTGCACAAGAATTATTCAAGTGTGTGGAGTTATATTGAGTTTGTCTGGTTAGCTTGCAGTTTAGACAGTGCAGATCTAAACTTTACTTCTTTTAGAATAAGCTATGTTACACATTATTATGTGATAAAAAAACTGAAAAACTGCCTTTAAAGTTAATTTGAAGTGTTCACTTGTATGAGTATTCTCCCCAGTAGATCAAAGCTGAACTGGAAAGCAAACTGAACAAATGCAGCCCCCCTTGATCGATTCGCTCCCTCTGTAACTGTAAGCTCAGTTCAAATGACAGGTTTCTGATGGCTCAATAAAAGTCCAGGGTGGTGCTTGATGTAAAATTAGTGAGTCAGGTAGCAGTCTGAGTCACTGCTGAGGTCATGTAGTAGAGTTTGATGAATTCTGTGGTGTCGTGGACTTGGGCTGTTTGCGGTGGAAATGTGCAGCCGTTGTAGCCCGAATGCCGTATGCAGAAGGCAGCCAGCTTTTTCTGACCTAATAAGCTGCATACCAACATCTTAATATGGCAGAGCGCAGAAGCACACAGCACATACTTTACATAGCTGGTAGGAGCATGAGCTCTAAGAATATTTTACATGTGGGAAGTATGCTGGCCACCAGCTATCCCGCTGCTCTGTTGCGTGATGGGTTCTGCAGCTTTATCTCAGATGGATAATGTTACCCTGGATGTTCTGCTGCTCCTATGGCACCGGGTTCAGGTTACCTCCTTTCTGCTCTGAACAGCGCTGTGGCTGTGATGCAGCTTTGGGTAAGTCTTATATAGGAACTGCTTGTGAGCTGTGTGAGGCTTAGGACCTGTGGCCTGGCCAGTACTGTGTAGAAGCAGCTTACCCAAGAAATGTGAAATTTTTCAGTGCTTTGGTAATCCAACCAGCAAAGGCCTGACCAGGTATCTCCCTAGTGTGTGTAAATATCTGTACTGTCAAAGGGAGCTGCAGTCACTGAGATCTAATTCTGAAGCCCTGGGTATGGAAATACCGAGTATTATGCAACTTCACAACTTCCTTTTTTAATCTTGTTAGACAAGTATGTGCTGTGTTTTGTGGTCATGGTAAATTTTCTGGGGGATTTTTGTAAAGAAAGCTCTGTGGAATTTTCAAAAGAAATCAAGGTATATCAAGGAACCCTTTTAAAACAACTTTTTAGCTTGGCAGGAGCAGGAAGGTCTTAGCTTCACCTCAGGGCCAAGTTTCAAAGATAGGCCACCATGTTTGTCTCTAACTTTCTTGAATTCCTTTTTCTCCTCTGTAAGTAGGGAAAGGGAAACTTCACTCCCACTTCTAAAAAGGTGAGAAAGGAAGACCTGGGGAACTGGACTTCTCATAGAAATAATGTTCCTCTGTTAGTAGAGGTGTGATTGTAACTTGATATTTTTTCTAACTAGTTTCTGTCACAGGCAGGTAGGACATGCAGTAAGCAAGATGAAAAACCTTTTGTTCCTTGAGATTAGATTGTTGCTTGTGTCACGATGTGATTTTACAGCCACTTTCTCTGACGTTTCTTTATCATTCTTAGCTTTTGTTAAATGCATGACCCTAGAATGAGAGCTCATTTTAAGCACCTTCCACACACCAAAAAGTGAGAAACAGTCTAAATAAAAATTTGGTGAAGGTGATAGATCTGTATAATCCAGATGTTCATTGGAATTTGTTAAGGAGGTGAGAATGTTGTCACCGGGTTTTTTGAGCTTCTTGAATATATATTTAAGGAAAGAGTCTGAATTTCTTGGCAGTGTTAGGAACATGATAGCTGCCACCCTTCTGATTTTATTTTATTTTTTTTCCATCTCCCCCTTCTAGTTTAGTTGTTTGTCCCCATCACAGAGTCCTAACTGCTTTGCACTTACTGCTTTTAGCCACACCTTGCTAGTGGCAG